CATGTTGGGATGGCGTGGCTCTTCAACTATGGAGGAATCATTAACTCCCGGTAGGAAATCAATACCAACACCTGTATCGAAGCGGAACTACTCCAGTTATCATCATCCGGGTAAACATTGAACAGCGGTGGAATGCTCCAGTCAATGTCATGTGTCTCCAAAGGGTCATGGTCTGATGATGGGGAAAAGATCTCTTCAGGATGCTGAAACAACCTCAGCCGATATTCTTCACTGCTAATCATTTGATGTTGACATTGTAGCTCTGATTTAGAAACAATTACGGAAAGAAGTGGTAGTGACACAAGTGTTCCGAAATAAAAACCCCTGAATTGCCGAAACAAATGCACCACAAACAATCCAATCTACACTACCAGAACTCTGAATAAATTAATCAATTTATTCACCCCAGTTCCAGAATGTGGAAAAACTTAAATGAATATGAGTGGTGATTATTGCTTAAAATATTGCATGAGCATCCAATTTGCGCAAGGTGATCAAAAACCAAAAAAAGTTGATTCATTAATAAATGCACTTTGGCCGACCAACACCTGGAAAATCCACGTCCACCAAATAAAAAGGAAAAAAGATCTAACAACCAGATTATGTTGATCAATTTCACTAAGACTCAGGCGAACCACAAATTTGCCAACACCAAATCAACCGCACCAATACCAAAAATTAATCCAGATAAATGTAGTCAACCAACAACCTAAAACCATACTTCAAAGAGCAAACTTTTAAAGGACGAAGGAACCAAACCGAAGCCAGATAAACGCCCCAGGTACGAACGCAGCTCCGATGCCAACTGATGTAGTGCAGCCTATCAATTGACAATGATTTACTACTCTCTTCCAACAAATGGTCCAGATAGATCGTGACTTCACCAATTCTCCTCCAACAAGTGGTCCAGAGAATCGATGGCTTCCAAGTCGATGGCCTATATCCAACAAATGGAGCACCGAAACTTGAAACTTTTGAACTATCGACCTATCCAACAAATGGAGCACCGAAATTTAGAACTACTAATTTTTCTTCCCACAAATGGTACGGAACAACTAGGTCTGATAAGAATCTCAAATTTTGATTGATTAAAACAAAAACTAGTTTAAATAAGACGGCTAATGTCTTTAAATAAGAAAACGACGAAAAGAAAATAAACCCTAATCTCAATTAAATGAAAATGACTAAAATACCCTTTAAATAAACCCTAACCTATTCCTAATCCTACGCCTCCATCAATCCATGACTTCCTTGCTTCATTAGAACAACATTGCTGTATCAGCTGATTTTTCTAGAATCCTACCTTGATGCGTGCTCTCCAAGTGGAATCCTACTCAGATACGTGCTCTCCAAGTACTGACCTTATCCGATAAGCAAGTGGCGTCAGCCATGTTCTGGGAAAGGATAATCAACGAATACCACCATTAATGGTGGTATCTAGACATGTTGTTTTTCATGAGGATCGCTTTCCTTACTATTCAGTTCCAAAAGATATCTCTCCACCTTTACCTATGATCTCAAACTTTGATTCTCATTTTCCAGCTTCAGTACCTTCTCAGAATTCACCTATAAGTCTAGAACATCTGCCATTGAATGCACCTGAGATATCTCATGATTCACTTTGTTCTACACAAGAACTTGCTGATTCTTCTAGGTCAGCTTCTATGGATTCTACTTCGTCTGACACATTAGATCATCATCCCTCCTGGACTAACTCTGATGATATTCCTCCAACAAATACACAAAATGATCATCCTTCTACTTTGGAGATTGTACTGCTTATCACTAAACTCAGACGAAGTACAGAACCTAAACAGCCACCCTCTAGGCTGCGTGATTATGATTATCAGTCCACGAATCAACATTCTACCACTGCTCTTGCATCCACACACTATCCTATGCCTGTACTGCCTTCTTCGTCTCGCTACACACCATGCACGTTTCCTTACCAGGTCAATCCTTGCTCGGCACTAGAACATCTCAGTTTTCTTGCAAATGTGTCTCCTGCCACGGAACCCTTGACATATTAGCAAGCAAGTTCTAGCTCTGATTGGATACAGGCAATGCAGGATGAATTAACAGCTTTAGAAGCCAATGGAACTTGGACTTTGGTCATGATTGGGTACATAAGAAATTTAGTTAAATGAATACGAATATTTTCCTGGGTCATGTGTCTCCTCAAGTTGAACTTAAAAACTTGTGTCGATGGTACTTTAAAGTACGATGAATGTTAACCTAATTGGGTTTGTGGCCTTTTATTGCTTCTTTCCACTTTTAGTACATCTTTAATATTCTCCAACTACTTCAAACGAAGATCCACGAAGGCATGAACATTAAAGATGTGACAAAAAAAGCACATTAATGATGACTTCAATATCGTGTTTGAACTCATCTTTTCCAGCTTCAATTGTGTGTATATTAGAATTCCATCGGGCAAAAAGGTAGTTGTGCAAAGACTATCTTCTACTTATTTACCTAGCTAGAGTCATTTACACTTTTCTACGAGTATTTTGTTATTTTTGAATTGTTAATATTTTGAAGGAACTGACAGTGTATCGTGACATGGCTTTTAAAAAACAAAAAATTGACAGAAACTTATCCAAAGGTGACTACTTGCCTAATTCATAAATATTGTGTTGAGCATTGACCCAAAATTAGAACATAGCGATCATCTTTTGTGTGACTAACAGTTTTACCAATTTGTTTAAATTGGAGAGTAATTGACGTGACAGATGTAAACATTGCATAAATACCTTTGATGAGTTTACCATTATCATGATTGAGTTTAGTTAGTTTTTTTTTTTTTTGTTTTACATTTTGATAAGCCACTTGCATAGTTTCGTCGTTATTTATTAATATTGTCACGGCTGGTTGGGAAATTCACAGCGGAAAGATTGATATCTTTTGATATCATGCTCTATAGTTTTTCTTTTATTTTTTTCCCAAAGAAAAATAAAAAGAATCTAAATGGGAAGCATGCAGGTCCAATTTGAGCATTGCTCAAATCTTCAGTTTAAATACATAGAGATCAAAAAAAGTATTACCCGCTATATAATTGTAAAAAATCTCCTCCTCTAAAAATCTCTCTCTAAAAATCTCTCCCCCTTCTCACTAAAAACCCTCCCGCCGGAATCTCCTCCTCCCCCAACCACGGGAGCCATCTCTTTTTTTAAGTTTTAGTCTTTTTCCTTTTTTTTTTCTAATAGAATAGGCTGACCACTGGTTCCTTCAGGCCGGCTGACGCCCTCTCCCACAAAAATCCGACATTAGGCACCGGTACTCTTCCAATAATCGCCGGATTTAGACGCCGCTGCCTTCTCCTCAGACGAGTGTTGGCTGTTTACCACCTTAGTGCCGGCTCCACCACCCATGTTGATAGGTGCAGATCTAAAGCTAGTCGGAGGGGCTGTCTGCTGCTCCCGAGAGCGAAAAGATCTGGCAGCGAATCTCAAATCTCTTAGAATCAGATCTGGCAAACGGATCTGAAGGATGAACAGATCCGGCCGACACTCACGCACAGGTAATCAGATGAAGAATCAACAATCACTCGGCCAGCCGTAGCAACCCTAGCTTTCTTTAATCTTGCAGGTCTTCCTTTCAAGATTTGAACCGCCGGCGAAAGCCTGAGCCCTTGCAAAAACTTCGACTAATATACCAAAACAGGAGCTTGGAATTTGCTTGTTGTTTCTAGACTGCCGTTGTCTGGTTCACTCTCTGCACAGCCGCTCCTCGGCCACAATAGCAAATCGGCTCATTCTTAGTTATATTATGCTTTGGTGCTGTTGACTCACTTGCAGGAACAACTTGGATGTGGTAATTTCAAATTTTATGTATATCACTCACTGTTTGGGATTCTTACTATGCCCACCAAACGTGGCAGTCCATGAGCAGTGATCCAAAAAGATGCGAATCACGTTGACGGGAAAAATGATAGTTGTCCTCCATCGCGTTACTGTAGTTTGTCTATGCCAATTCTATTACTAACTATGTAATTCCCGATGAGGTTTACTGAAAATATTAGTTTTAACTGATATTTAAAACACCGTCATAGGATGATGGTTTCCCAATTGTACAGAGTAATTCTAAGCACTACCCTGAAAATATTTCGCTTTTTAAGAAATTACCCGAGTACATCCTGATTTTTTTGTTTTTTTAAAAAAAGATCAATCTCTACGGTGTTCCATTTATTAATATCGTTGTGCACTGACAAGTTCTTATCCGAAAGAAATTAAGCAAACCCCGTATGCACGGGTGTTTAGAAAACTCAATTTGACCCACACAGAACACATAATAAATATTACTCACTGCGTTCCATAATTACATAATTATTGTTCAGTTTGAGATTTTATTTTTAGTTCAAAATGTACTTGAAACGAAATTTCAAACCGGAAAATACTTTTGGTACAAAGAGAGTATGTACTACTGTTATATCATGCAAAATTATATATCAAACACAATAATAGATCAAAGTATATTTTTAGGAAGAAATGTAAGAGCTTCACGGAAAAAATGCTAAGAAAGTCGAGAAGTCACCTTATATACACCAGCTTGCGCACACTAAATTCCGCGGAACACATGCACATCGCGCGGATACTTATAATTCTAAGTATTAATGTAGCCAACGTAAAAATTATAGAAACGCTTTACCAAAAAAAAAAAAAAAAGTATAGAAAAGCAAAACTACAGTCACTGCATTAATTTCTTCTCCAATTTTCATTACAACAAAATAATCATAAAGCAAGAGTATTTACATTAATCATCAACATTTCTTAGTCTCTGAACAATTTTCTTCCCCTCGTTTTTGAGTGGAAGTGACTAAGGAAAAGGGATTAATATAAACATTACATTAATTTGAAAGGAGGAATTCACTTATTCTCGTACCGTAAAGGCAATCAAGGTACGTGCAATTAGGCACAACATGCAACAAACTATGCAAAGAGATGGAGTTCGTGTCGAAACCATGCAATCAAGGAGAAGAACAAAATCAACTAAGAGTATCTTCAACCCAGAACAGGTACAATCAGAAAATCCCCAATTGTAGCAACAGTCAACAGCAAACCATTGACCTCAGTAACGGCAGAGGTTAAGGTGACCGGGGCCCTAAGGATTCCGGTGGCGGTTTGAAGAACCGGACATGCTAGGGACGTGACGGGAAGTTGAACGATTGCAACGAGGTTGGATAATGGTTGCAGCAAATTGATACCTAAGACGGATAAGTTGGCGACAAGCACAACTCTCCCGTTGGCATCGGTTATTCCCTGTGCGATCGGAATTCCGCTTATTGTCAGAACCACGGTTACATTGGCAACCGGCAGGCCAGTAGGGTTTCCTCCAGTCGGGGTGCACAAAGCAAGGGCTTTACCCACTATCCCGGAAACATCGTTGCCGAGGATGGGGATGGAATTAGCTGACGGAGCTACGGCTATAAGAAGCACTACAGCAAGAAGGAGAACAAGGCTTTTCGTTGTAGTCATGATGATAGCAATTTGGAGGATAATATTGTATGGAGAGAGAAAAGTAGGAGGCCTAAATGTTTGAGTAGCTCAATTACAAACACTCAAGACGGAAAGTATAGTAGATTGTGTTGTGAGTTTTATGTTAAGGCATTGAACTCTATTTATAGAATAATTTCTCAACCCTTTCTTGTTTTCGATCAGTCCAAACCAAGGCTACAACTTGATTGCTTTTACCACTTGGAGTAACAAGATAATGTCACAAATATTGCAAGTGAGCCCTAGTCATACTTTTCCTTTTCTTTCTTTTTTGTGTTTTTTCCCCTTGAAACTCTTTCCCCTTGTATGATTCTATCTATTGTTGGGTTGACCTTTAAAGTTGATGAACAAGATGAACTGCTACACTCATTGATATCTCAAAAAGAGATCCCACATGGGTCGTCGATGTATTTGTAGTGATAGTGCGAAATGTACACAGGTATGATATCTTATGGTCTCGTTTCAAGAACCTAAAAGAAGTGAAGAAAAAAAAGGTGGTACATTAAAGTCCAATTTAATTTACCATTAACTGATTTCCAAAACTATGTTTATCTTTGACCCAATAGTCCAATTCACCGTTCTTAATTTGTTTTAAGAATATTATTATGTCACTAAATGATTTGATAAAAAGTTAAGGTACTTGAAGGTATCAGATGATTAACTAAAAGAAAGTTACACAATTTTAGAACCAACAGGAACGAAAACAATTCGCCTAATTAAAGAGTATTCTTCCTAATTCCCATGCACATAATATTCCGAGTCCTATTACCTATGCTTTAAAATATTATGTTGTCTGCTTTCTCATTTCTAATTCAAATTATTCTAAAAAGAAAAATATAATAGAGCAATCATTTCAGATCAAGTAATATTAATTAATCCATATTATAATTATAATTACTATTATTATTATTATTTCATTTTAAGAAAGGCATGTATTAAATAGTCACATCTTCAAATTAGTCTCCGTCCAGCCTCAAAGATCAGATTCAGATATTTTAGTAGCATGTAGTCTTGTAATATTGCTTTTCCATGCATCGCTAAATAATACATAGATTTGAATTATAGCCTGACCTAAAATTGTTTTTGATTCATTACGGTTTTAGTTGTCCTTGTCAGCTTCCCAAATTCTTATAGAAGCCCATTACAGTATACAATAATGAAGTTCATTTAAGTTGGATGTTGCAAGTCGTGGATATTGGTCCAAGCACTAGTTGGTAAAAGTTGAATTAAATTGTTATTTTAATCGATTTGAATATTCTATAAAAATACGCATTATACCAAAAGAGGAATAGCTACGAGGCAGTGAGGGATTCGGAATATGAATCTTAACTCTCATGTAAAGTACGCATAATAGATCGAGATATTAGAAATAATGTATAACTTAGAAGTTAAACCCGTACGATGTGCGGGATATGTTACAATTTTTTTATACTTTTTTAAGAAAATATAAAAATATGTATTATGTGTGTATAAATTTTATGAAATATTAATTATTATTTAAATAAGAAAAATGTGATACATGAAAAAGTAACATATATATTTATATATATATTCACTCCTGGAAAACAAAAATAAAGTAAGCCTCGTAATACATGATTTCATTTTCTGATGTATTATACAACAAAAGAAAAAATTAATTAAAAAAATAATTATCATAGTTTAACAGCTTGAAAGTAGTCTAATTTATGCTCAAAATCATGTAAACCAATAACTTTAAAGAATAATTAATTTAAAATAAAATATTATTTATTAATTATGATTGAATGGTTAGAAATACTCAAATATTGAATTCTCAAACAGTTAATAAGGAGATAAAAAGTATAATTTTTCCTTAGAATTGATATCGAGAAAATGGATATTGCACCGCACATATATAACACACCACATTCATCTTTAACAAAAATTAATAAAAGAAATTCAACACAAGAAAATTGAAGCAGATTAAGTAAAAAAACATTAAGAGCGTGAACCTTTATGCTTTAGGTTAACACATGTGCACTGTGCACAACAAAGTCCACAATGTTCATCTTTCATCTACACATAACGCAAAAACCATATTTAAAAAAAAAATAAAAATAAAAATCTTGGTCCATGCCTCTACTGTAATTTGCCTTCTGTTGATCGATGCTCTCGGGCGCTGGAAGTCAATCTTGAATCTGTTGATATTCTTATACGTCTTGTACCTGTAAAAAGAACACAACCAAATACAACCAGTTTCAATCATATTTAATTAGGTCATATGATTAGAGGGAATAAAATGAAACAAAAACTACTGAAGCACGCACGAAAGTGTGAGGTTCTGCTAGAAAATATCCCAATATTTATAGGCATATAATGCTCAATCTCTCGTCCAAAATATATTATTGATAATTGATGTTTGTTACGAATTTTTTGAATTCTGAAATAAGTTTAGAGTGTATACCGTATATGGTTTTTCAAGCAAGATATATATAACTCTGTAATTATTGTAATTAGGCGTAAATTATTGTTGAGGCTGATTTTTTGGATTTTAAAATTAATGAAAGACTAGAATATATACAGATGATTCTGACATTAATTATATTTGAATTTCAAAATATAATTAATATTGTTTAATGTTTGCTTTTGTATGTGATGGATTCATTCCCGCCAACCGAATCATATTTTTAAATCATATCATATTACTTAATGAATACACTAAATATTTACCTTTTTTGGGTAACATATAATAGAGGATTTAAAGATTTTTCGTTTTTTTTCATCTCATCATCACGAAATAGAAAGTTTTTGATGTTTATGATTTTTACTGATTTTGTGGGTTTGTTAATTAATGACTGATATGATTGTTGAAAATATTTTTTGTTGCAACCAATTGGAAACTGACATATGATATGTTGTTCTACGTGTCAACGGGAGGAGAGGTTTGATTTCCTCTTTCTGGTTTGTCTTAGTATAATACTATAGATAGATAGATACCCATGGGTTTGTTTTGGTACAAAATATTTCTTGCTATGCATAATTCCTTTTTTGGGACAAAAATATTTGTGATAGTTAATTGTATGCAGTGCCAGGACTTTTTCGTACTTTTCCTATGGGACCTGTACATCTAAACAACTAAAGCCCGTAGGCTCCAAATCTATGTACATATGCAGTCCAATAATTTGTTCAAGAAATTCTCACCCCGGCGTAACACTCATCGATCATCATAGATCAATTGATATTATAGTTTTTCAATTCTTTTGCGCCACTTCTGCTTAGTATCATCAAGCATAGAATAATAGGGAATGGCTTCTATCAATGCAATAATATACAGATATAAAATATATATAAAGGCATGAAATAAACCTTATACATAACGTTACAACCGTAACTATATAACTACAAAAATAATCAAATAAAAAAAAACTATCATCGTAGCTAACTCCTCCAACAACATAGTAAACAAAACATTGTGAATAACTCATTTTAACAGTCTAGTTGATTATAAAACTACTAAAACGGAGAAGCTACTCATATGATCCTCTATATTTGCTAAAAATCTTAATTTGAGTCATAACAATTAGAATTTACTGCTTTGGCCGTTACATGTGTGTTTTTAACAAATGCAGTCCTTTTCATTTTTTGGTGCTACATTTGGGTGTTTTAAGTTTGATCATACTAGTTTAAGTCAACAGGGATATTTGTAGTAATTCAAAATATATTTTTTTGAAATATAAAAATCACGATTTAATGAAATAATATAATCAAAACTTGTATATTTTAATAAATAATTCATTAGATATTAAACATTTTTAAAAAATTTTAAGAACAACATAATAAAAATTTAATTTTTTTTTATAAATAAAGTTTTTACCTGTGGTGACCCCACATATCTCTACCATTTTTTCAACCTTTCTCTTTTATCTTAATCATGGTTAAACTGAAATTTAAATCACAGCAACTGTCAAAACCATTGTTCAACCCTTTTTATCCAATTTTAATCTTTTAATTGGAATGAAAGTGAAAGAGGAATGGGAAAAAGATAGATTTAGGTGGTACCCACAAATGAAAAAATTGTGCCATCACATTAAACATTTTATTTTTAAATTTAATTTATTTTCCAAAATTTTAAATATTTTCTATTTAGTTTTTCATATTTTAACAAATTAAATAGCAAATTAAATTAATTGATATGGAATTTTTATAGGACATTGTATTTTTGTTATTTTAAGAAATTAAATTAGAATAAACAAAAATAATGCCGTCGACTTGACTTAGAATTTGTCAACTTGAGAACTACAATATATAAAGTGTACTAGGCTTTTGTTGTCGCGCGTTGCGCGACCAGTGTTTTTGTTACATTTTTATACATCTTTCATAATTTACAACGTATGCGATAGTTAAATTTTAGTAACACATTCAAAGCTTAATTTCGGTAAAAAATGTAACAATTCAATTTTTTATTTTGTAATTTTTGGCACATTGTGTCTCTTTTTGTAATTGAATCATCTTATAGTTATGAGATTGATGATTTTATTGAAATTTCAGCATTGTTCGGTAAAAGCGCCTTCTACTTATCACTTAATTTTGTTAGTCCTTGGTTGCAAACTTCTTTATTTACCAAGTCCCTTTAATGTAATCTAATCCCAACTCTTGAAATAGCTTCTTATGTATTGTTTGAAATAACTTTTTAGCTACACACGAGTATTTATCATATTTACGTGCTAGTTGGTTGACAATTATTTTAGATAAACAATAGTATTCATCATATTTATATGCTAGTTGGTTGCCTCGTAATTTAACAGATGAAAAACTACATCATCAAAAATATCAAACACGTATTTGAAATAAGTACATTCTCTCGTCACAAATAAACTCTTACTTAATTTGAAACGGAAAAAGTATCATTAGTGTGTGAACTTCAACATTCTACTTCTATTTCCCGATTCTTTCTTTCAGATCCTAGAAGTTTATGAAATGATATGAACTTTTTCTTTGCGTTTTGATCAGTTTAGCATGGCAAT